TCTTATTCGAGTGTGAGCAAATCTTGAAGACGAGCTCTGTAGTATGTAGTGAGACATTTACTTCCCTAACCCACATGCTCTGCCATAAATAAAGTTGATCATGATATTTTCATATATATCTTAATCAATCTAATCTCATTAGAAACAATGATAACAATATCCAAAGTTCATCAAAATAAATTTATACAGAAATCATTTTTTTTTTACTTTCACATGAACTGATAATGCCAAAGCTTGATTATATGAAAACACTTTTTAGACAAGATATAAATCTGCTATTTGGAAAAATGGCAGCATCATTTCGTCGTGTTACAGTGAATGCTGTTCACAAATCGCAAATAACCGTATGTAATCACTTATACTTTATATAATTACATATTAAAAAGATTTTGATATTATAGAAGAAGCCATTGTCTATCAACAATCGATCTTTTAGTTTACCAAGAACTGACAAAAGCCTGAACGATACAAGATCGACAAACAAACAAATTAAAAGAAGATATAACTCAGTTCATGTACAAAAAATAGATCGATCATCAATCAATAAGAGCAAGACAAGTCTTCTACCGAACGGTTCAATTCTATCAATAAGTTCATCTTTTGATTTAAGAAGCATGAATTCATCATCAAATAATCAAGAAAAGTTATATTGTTCTTCAATTAGTGGCGAGCCAACAAATCAATCACCAATTTATTTCGACAAGATGATTTCATTAAAGAATCATAAGACAAATCGAAGTCAATCATTGAATCTTAAGAAGAATAGATTTAATCTATCTACTCGTTTGAAGCGGATAACTCAATCATTAACTTATCCCAAGAGGATAATAACGCCGTTAAGTGATCCGTGCGGAACAACCCGAATATCAATGCGGGAAGAAAATTCCAGTCCATCGAGCAAAGTAACATGATTTGCTCTTGAATAGAAGATTTGTCTCGATTGCAAATAACAACATAGATAAAATAATATATAAAAGAATTCATAAGAGGTCTGGTCAACCAGTCGGACAAAAATCATAGTCCCATATATATTACGCTAAGTCGTATCGTAAGATTACCCATTACCAATAAATTCAACAATAAGGAACTAGCTGATACCTTAGATTAATTATCGAATGATTAATTTTTTCGAATTGCATTGCATTACTTCATAAGTCCTTCTAGACTAACGAAAAACATTTTAAAATATTGAACGAACCACTGATCGAATCATAAGGTTCGACCTGAAAAAACTGTTATTGAAATTTTATTAGAGGTATTTATTTTCGAACATTGAAGCCATACACTAGTCAAAAAGCTGACTTAAAAGTCTCTGAAAACTATTAGAAAAAATATAATTTTGTGTTACTAAAATTTCTCGAGTGTGGGTAACATAAGTTGCTTCTATGAGTGCAAGTATTAAGGTAACAGCTTGAAAAAATGCATTGGCAATAGGAAGATCATTCTGCTTATGTCTTAACGACAGACTTCTATTTGGAGATTTTGTTTCAATACCTAAGTCAATTTTTGTCAGCACATTTAATTATACCAATATGTCTCATTGCTTATTATCTGAGCCAAAAGATCGAATAATAAAACGATCAAAGTGAAAAACATCGAAAACATATAGCAAAAAGAAAATCATTATATTCTTAATCGTTTAATTGAAACAGAATTACAAAAGTACAATGGAAAAAAATAGCTTATTAGCGCAACCCGGGCAAACCTTCTCCTTAAAACTTACGATCACGACTTTATTCGAAAATATATGTGAGTTCCACAAAAAAGCATCCAGTTTTCCTATATCTTTCTGTTTATATACAAAATGACCTAATATCCATTGGTAGAATATTTTTTAATTCTTTTCTTTAGAAGGAAACAAGATAGAAACCTGTGGTTTTTGTCGTTGAAAACAGAAGATGAAATTGTGCCGATAAGTTTTCTGAAGGCATACGATCGAGTTTATCAAAAACAAAGCATTCTGTAGTGTAAAAGTATTATGATTTGAATTTTCAGGAGGACACTAACATCATCAACTCAAGATCTATAAATTAGGAGACAAGTTCGATGTTGTAAGATCTAGTTAGTCATGAGTTATGAACAGTTTATTACACTCACCAAAACTCGATTTTTTAAACAACTTGGCGCAGTAGTCAAAGAAAACTTGTCAGAAAAATTTGGTATGCATGATTCGATGAAATTTTTTCTCTCCTCTTTTAAATGATGAAAACTTTAGATTTTTCTCTTGTTTCGATTCAAAAATACAATGGACTCGGTTGTATCGCAATTAATTAAATCTATATCATAAAAATCGATTGTTTCCGCGTAAAACTTAATTAAAACTGACGATTTTCAAATTGGAGTTTTATTTTTCATGTTGCTTTAAAAAAGAGAAAAATGTCATCATTTCTAAAATGATCACTGAAAACGCCAGATCGCTACTTGCTTTTATTCCCGAGTTATTTGTGATACAACAGAGTCCATTGTATTCTTGCATCGATAGTAGTTTTAAAGTTGAAATATCACTATGAAATATTGAATGATTCGTAATAAAATACGTCGACTATTTTACATTGAAAACTACTCGTTTAATGGGCGAACAGTAAAAGCCGTTGCCAATATGTCAAGACATTATAAAAATGACCGATTTATTTAGTTAGAAATAGATCTATGGTATTCGATGATTGATCTAATGAATAAAATAAGACAACCTATCAAAAGAAAAATATTTCACTAAATTAAGAATGTTTTTAAACGATAGATCATTACTCTATATTTCATCGGTGACTTCGTTTTACATTTGCAGAACATCACAGCAAGAAAATTCTAATAAGAAAAGTGGCGGATCTACTCTGATATAGAGTCTCGAAATATCGATGCTCGTACTTTTCTAAAAGATGGAAAATGACTTTTCTTCTTGCGTATTTATTTATAGGTTTGCTGTATTATGTTTTTTTTTTAGCACACAGACTTATACTTTATATCAAGACATGATCTCTCGACGTCAGCTTCAAGCAAAACTAAGAACATTTTCGTAAACGAAGAAGAAGAAGAAACTATTGTGCAAGATGGACAGCCCCGTCTGTGCACCCTTTATTGGATTATGGGAGAAAATGATGAAGAGAATAAAAAGGAAAGAAGGCAAGAATTTTTTAAGTGAACTATACTACTATGCCGATTTATATTGATTGTAATTCAGGAGACGTGGAGCATTCATAACAAGTTGTTGCTGTTGTTGTAGTATAATGGCTTTATTATGCTGTATTATTCTGGCAGCATTTCTGGCAGCAATGATTTTATTAGGTATGTATTCAAGAAAAATTAGACAATTTATATAGATATTTTTTTCGAAACTACTTATTCGTTGTCTTTAACAGTTTCTTTTTTGTTTTTGCAAAGCAATGAATGACTCAGTTTGATCAAATTCGCTTAGCTCAATCCTGAACGAAAGAAATGATAGTATTGAATATTAGGTACTAATCGCGAAGAACATTTTATCTAAAATTTAGAAAACGATATAGAATGAATTTATATTAAAATATTTAACTCTCACTCGAGAATAAGAAGTTAACACTTTTAAGAATTAAAAATGAAGATTTATTTTTCTGTTTTCTTAAAGTCATCATTGGAAGAGATTCTACAGATGATTCACATTGATCTGATATGAATATGCAGTACATCATTTATTGAAAAATTAAAAAAGCGGATAAGAATTATTTTTCCATCTGGGATATTTGATAAGTTTCAGTGCATTCGTGCATAGCTCGCAAGACAGGAAATCAAATACTTTTATTCTAAAAGATACACCATGAAATAAAAAAATACGATCAAAAACTAAAATTTTGCCGTCTTGGTATACTCAAAGCGCCTGATATTTTGATTTTTATGTCGTACTTATCATTTCTTCATATGACTATGGCGCCCTACAAACGTGATATAGGTAGATACAACTTTTTGAGCTCTATCTAGTTATATACTTGAATGAAAAAGAGTTGCACTTTTTTCAATAGAAAACTAATAGTGTGGGTGGAGGTGTGGATTTGTGAGTGCGAGTCGTACTATGTATGTTCAGTACACTATACTTAATATTTTGAGTTTTAGTTGTTCCTGCAAACGGTAAAAGTACAACAACAACAACAACTACTACTACCAGCACAACAGCAACTACCAGCTCTACAACAACAGGATGTAAGCAACACATTTGAAGCTCCATATTCTGAGAAATGGAACGATCTTTTTACCCTGCATAGAAAAAAGTTATCAGTACAATTCCTGCATATTTCAAACGTAAAATACGGTTAACATGCTTCCGTTTTATATTACTATACCTCTGTAGTAGATGTAAGAATTGGTTTCAGAAATATTACAGACCACATTTTTTACCAAAAATTATAGTTTTGTTACAAAATTTTGACAGGATAACTAATTTAGTTGTGTAATGCAAGAGGTTGTGGATAAAGAGAATCTACATTCAAATCTCAGGCACCTACACCCAGGAAAAAAACGTTCCCACACTGACCATGGCCTCTGATACGAAATAGACCATCATGTTATACAAACAGTGCAAACTTTTTATAAAATTTCGTTAACAGTTCTAAACATCGTTCCTTTATTAGTTGTTAAAGAAGCTTTGAAAATGAATACGATTCAATTTATTCACCTATCCTACCCTGTATTATAATACGTAGTGCCTCTCAGCATTTCACTTATTGCTTTTCTGAATCAAACTTTCATTAAACTTATCGCTACCGATCAAGTCAATTATTGTATTTCAATCAATAGTTTCCATAATTATGACGCAACTGAAACATCAAAGTATGTTTTACATCATTTGAATATGAACTCAGACCATATTTAACTTTGCTGAAGTATCTAAGCAATTGACAGTCCAAGTCGAATACATTTTATCATTTTAGTTATATGCTATCCTGAATGTCAAAATAATGGAACATGCATCCAAACAAACACATGTTTGTGCGCAACTGACTTTACTGGTTCAAGTTGTGAAATCCGTATGTTGAATGCCCCCTTTAATGCTTGTTTGTATTACAATTGCTTTGCATTTTTTTCCAGAATCTGGTGGCTTATGTTCTGATGACAACACAACTAATATAGCTCCAATTTTCTTGGTTACATTTGGCTCTGGTTCAGCTACATTTTCTTCAGCAACGCCTGCTAATTTTAGTTTCACAACAACTTATCAACAAGCGTTCACAATTCCAATAGAGGATGGCTATTTTGCTTTTACGAATGCGATTCCTAATGTTAACACTGTTTGGCATACAGGAGCCCTAGATCATACACCTAATGACATCGATGGATACATGTTTCTGGCCAATGCAGATCCTAATCCTGGCCAATTTTATAGGGGAACAGTCAATAATTTGTGTATTGGTGAAAGGTATGAATTTTCAGCCTACTTAACTAATCTTGTCGGACCATTTGGTCTTGCTAAACCGAGCGTTATATTTCAAATTCGAACATCAACATCTGACAACACTTTAATTGGTCAGCTAGATACAGGCGAAATACCCGAATATAGCACGATGACTTGGACGAAGTATGGCATTTCATTCATAGCAACAAACACTTCAGTCGTTCTAATAATGATTTCAAACACTCCTAATTACATAGGAAACGATATGGCCATTGATGATATTGCCTTCCGCATCTGTTCGAATTCAAATTCTGGTGTCTGTGCAACAGGTTAAAACGTCCATGTTATTCGAAAAGGAGTCATTATCATTGGTAGCTAACATGACAAATTTGATTCGAAGAGTACTATTTGAATTTTTTTTCGAATTGCATCTTGATTTCATTTTCACTTGCTTTATGTTAATCTTTGCTTTAGCCATGTAACAATTGATTTTCGATTTTCTTTCTTACGTGCTAATATAACAAGATTTTGGTATTCATCTGAAGTTTAAAAATGATGGTATATCAAGGTAAAAAAAAAGCCGGAATACTATGGAATCATCTGCTTCCTAACTGTCTACTTGTGACTTTGATTTCACTAAGTGAAGTCAGAACGAAAATTCAATAGTAGATTCATGTTCAGTATCAAAAGCCGATTCAACTAGCCAATATCAGAAACTCTCGAAGAGCATTATATTAGTTGATTGGCAGTTGTAATGTACATTTCCGTATGAATATGGGTCAAAATTTTAAAAAATCCGAAGTATTTACACTGCCTAGAAGTAAAATTTCAGCAATGTTCGTGGCTCCATTTAAAGATCTTTTCTTGAGTTTTGAATAGTTTAAGCGATCAAAAGAAATCTAATGATAAGGATGAGCCTATACTCAAAAAATAATCATTTGCTCGAACCTCAATCAAAATAAGCTTCCGAATGTTCGGTGACTAATTATGGTTGCTGTCTGAGAGGAAGTTCTGCTTTTGTGTAAACCCATGAATATCGCGAACGTCCAGTATGCATATTTCTCCGGGACTGAATCTGATTAACTGCAAAACTATGGCAGAGACAAAATTTCGAATTAGTTTTCTAGTGATAGGCTCAATATTAGGGTATGGGGGTGTGGGTGTGGATGTGAATGTGAAGAGAAGAGCCATACCCACACCCACACCCTAATGTGTATATCAATTGAGTTTTATCTACATGTATATACTGAGATATTTGTGGTTGAATATATCTGAATGTATGCGTATATCCCGATTAAAGCTTAATTGAAATCGACGTCTAATTATTTTCCGAAGACACAAAAAAATAATGAATATTTTCTCGCCCAAGAAAAACAACAATTTTTCGAGATATAAAAGTGAATGATTTCCAACGAAGAAATCATCCAATTATTTGAATCAAATAATAATTGTTTTGTTTTATATTTTAGGTTGGCTTTAATGATACAAAATTATTCGATTCAACATCGAACAATAAAATAAAATGTAGCTTTCATTTTTTTATTTTTATTTTTGCTTTTTTTGCTTTTGAATCATATGGAGGGTGTTAAGTCCTCCTATAATCTTTTTTATGTATGGTTTTTTTTCATTTTAGGCATTGAACAGTGAAGAAAAGGATAGCGGGTGGAGTAAGTCATCTCGTGCTTTTTCATTATATGGCATTAATTAAATTTTTTTTCTTTTTCTTTTAGTCCTCAATATCATTGCGTCGTCACCATCAACAACGTCATCGTCTAACATCAAACACGTTGAGTAATTTTTATTTTGAGATGAGAATAGGGAAGAAGGGGATGAAAATAGATAGTGAGATTGAGAGGTTGGTGTGAAACTCAGAAAAGTGAGTGTTAGTGAGCGGGAGAGGTGAGTCATGTCCGTTGAGGTTAGGCCCTGTTATTTACAGACCTTCGAGGTAGGCCCTAAAAGTCCGGCCAGGAACTATCTTGGTGTCCGTGGCACGCAACCGAGCTTTTCCCAGACTCATTGTCGTATCTCTCGATCTCGAGTGGGAGGGATGTGAATAATATGAGTCTGTCCCGTGCGTGCATGAGCATTACGCTCGCCACGACTCCACCGGGATGGTTCCTGGTCGCGCGCGCCCGAATAGTATACCCATTGCTTTCATCAATCAACATGATTTATTTGAGAGACAGGAAAGACAAAAAATAATCCATCGTAATGAGTCTATTCGATTGAAAATCGTTGGAGACGATTATTCTCACTATCAGCGACATAGAGATTGCTATGACGATCGAAGGATAAACCCATGGGGTAGTTCAACTGATTTGCTCTTTCTCCTTGTCCATTTCCACCCACGATGACAGTGCCATGTTTCGCTCCTTGAATCCAACGAGTCACTCGTTGATTTCCTAAGTCTGCCACATAGATGGTACCCAATGTATCGACGAGCAGTCCATTAGGATACCATAATTGTGTTAAAGCATTCCTTTTGCCTTGATCTCCGGCGACGACAATTCCTTCTTTTGCACCTTTATTCCATTTCATTACACGGTGATTGTCACGGTCTGACACGTAGACAGTCTGTTGTTGATCGACAAAGAGGTAGGCCGGAAAGTTGAGCTGATTAAGTCCAGCACCTTGGCCATTGCCACCAGCCACGAGAGTTCCATTCTTGTCTCCTATTTGATATCGTCTTACTTCATGTTTTTCACAGTCAGAGATGTAGAGATATCTCTGATTATCCATGGCCAATCCAAAACAATCGATGTTATCGATGAGGATTTCTGCTTGAGTTGTGTCACTACGACGAGACCATCGTACGACTCGTCGATTCCTCCAATCAGAAATAATGAGACTATCCGTCTCTTTGTCAATCAACACATCGGTTGGACCATACAATTGACTCAATAGACTTCCTTTGCCATTGTCACCAGCTACTAGTCTATTCTTATCACCCATCTTCCGTTCTACGATACGATCATTCCAATGGTCAGTGATGACCATCGTTTGATCATCATCAACGAAGAGATCGCAAGGGTGGTAGAGTTGATTAGTGGTATTGCCTCGTCCATGGCCTCCAGTAACGGTCACCCCATTCTGTTTCCATCGGGCATTGGCTGGAATATTGGGAATTACTACAATAAACGGGAAGAAGAAAAGGGATCGTTGTCGTCGAAGGAATCCCGTCTCTCACGGAAGCAAACACTACAATTACGATATTCGTCTTTGACAATGCTCGTTCCGTAGATAAAAATTCAGAAGTTTTTTCCTAGTTTTCTGTAAAAAAAGGATCTTTTGTAGGATGATCATTTATATGAACATCAGCCAAGAATTTAAGTAATGAAATAATGAACTATGTGAAACTCATAAACTGAGAAAGTCCTGAAAAGATATAGTTTTCTATGTTTTTGGCAAACTTTCAGGATTAAATATGCATCTTTGAGAGTGTTTTGTACGTGATAGAAGAAAATTCTTGATCACGTCATGTTATCGATGATTAATATAGATCTCCTAAAGGGTATCCTACATATTCGCATTGAGGATGCGGGTAAGATTTCATTAGATGTTAACGAACTTGTATCTAGCTGTACGAATGGCGATTCTGATAGGCTCATGGCCAGATCCTATTGTTGGACTGACACATGCGAAACTGACAATGCAGGTGTTTATACTGTCCGTGAGAAAAATGGGATATATTCAAGCTAAATTAAAACCCTCATCGCCGAACTAACGAGGTTAATATATAGGCTGCCCTTGGCTTGTCGAGAGCAAGATGTTCAATTTTTACGGTAGTCATTGTTTGAGTATATAAAACTATTAGGATAATTTACATTAATTTTTTTATACAATTAGTTCAATATTTTAATATTAGCCTTCAAGAATCTTTCTTAAATATATCAATATCATGAAGATCGCATTAACTTCGATGTCTTCTGAAGCTTAAATAGTATCAAAATGTAAACAAGATATATGACGTGTTTGAAACATGGCTTATACAGTGAATAATTGAATTTAAAGCTCATTGATGCATCATTTGATGGTCTAAAAGTCTGGTTGCATATTATGCAATTGTTGACCAAGGCAGATAGACGACATGTAAATAGTTATCATTTAAGTTATCGTCAATATTTCATCAACATGCATTCTGTTATTCACAATCAACTATCAGCTCCACAACTTAAAAAGTCTGACTAAGAATGGGTTTGTACCAGGTTGAATAACGAATGAAACAACTGGACAGATCGAAAAACTAAAAGATGTTTGCTTCAAATTTTATGGTCTGTACTGTTCGTTTAACGATTGTGATGAACGAACATTATTAACATGTGCTTGGTGCAAAAATATCTTCGTTACCATCATTTGATTGAAGACCTACATCTACATTTATGGTACATTTCTTGAAAGAGTCTATTGTATAACCTATTGTTTTCATTTGCAATAAAATCGAAGGTATGGATGAGTTAGAGATTCTAATAACTTACTAGCTAATCCTTATCTAAATAAATACAATCGTGGACGGAATTTTTCGACGGTTTTGTTTTGCATATAACTTTCTTATAATGTGAGCTTTTGAGGAGTGGCTTACGTCAGAATGACGAGCAACATCTATGCTATATCCATCGAAAATTTTAGCTCGAAAGATTGAGCCATAGTGAACTTATGAATTCTAGAATGAGAGCATTTTTATACAGACAACAGTTATGAAAGAAAAAATTTTCAGTAAAATTGTTTTCTATTTCTTATCAGTGCCGCTTTATTTGAAACTTAGCTCAGCACTTTAGTCACGACTAAATAACCTTTGCCAATATTTCTTAAATGTTGATTTAATTTTTAAAAATTGTAAGACATCTAAAAAGGAAAATTACTAAGAGTTTTATAGAAAGTATTTTTTTGAATATTCTCTCTTCATGTAAAAGCTTATTTGTTTCTAAATTCACTGAAAACATCGATGAGAAAAAGACCAACTGATCAAATTTAGTTGAAAGTGTCTGGTCTATATACGTAATGTACATTAAATACTTTTGAGTTTGAAACTATTGTTATTCATAATCGTATTTTTCGATATTCTGAACAATTTCATTTCAATTATACGAGATGTTCAGGAATTATCGACTATTCGGTGAGAGTCATTGATGATTCACTGAATTTGGTTGAGAATAAAATATCTTTTTCATTCTTTTTAGTTTATCTGTCCGTGTACCCAATGCTTGTCATGAAACAAACAAAAAAGTTGTGATTCATTTCTTGATAAATTCAATAACGCAATGGTATTCATGGAAAATGTTAGTTGCCTTTTAAGAATGGGAAATAAAAACAAATTTTTACCATAGTTTCAAAGTTTTAAATGTGACCTCAAAAAGCCATTTATGTTGGCAGTATCAGAATCTATTGAATTTATTTTTAAAATTTTTTTCGATGAATATACATTGACTGTCTTCATATCAGAGATGAGCACAGGACAGGACGGTCCTGGCGTCCTGGTGTCCTGCCCTGTCCTGTCCTGCAGGACAGGACGCGATTTTGATTTTTGTCCTGTCCTGCCGCCCGCCAGGACAGAGATTGCCAACAGGACAGGACGTGATTTTGATTTTTGTCCTGTCCTGCCGCCCGCCAGGACAAAGATAACGATTACAACAGGACGGAACAGGACAGAAAAATTTCTCGTGTGAATTTTCTCGTTCTTTTGTTATTTATATTTGTTAAACAACTATCACTTTCGACCGGTGACTTTTTAACAGTCGACGTATGTGGTGATTGATAGGTATCGCTATAAGGATGAATCATAACACTAATTAAAATATTGGTTGAAAAAAAAGCGCCAATTAGATGTAGTCATTGATGATTCAGAAATTTT